ATATATATATATATATATATATATATATATGTATATACACACATATACATATATACACATATACATACAGACCTACATAATACTGATTAAGCTTTGAGTTGTATACATTAATTTTTTTAAAGGAAGTTCAAAAGATGTTCATACTGTATTCCACAAAGGTGCTTTTTAATCTATTTTATTTTTTAGAGCAATTCATATTATTGGCTGTTTGATTCGTACCTCATTCTTACTGCCTGTCTTGGGGGGTTCCTCCATGTCTGTGAGGGTGGATTGGGTGTCTCTAAGCTGGCTTCTCTTCTGACTCAAAACCTGTTTTAGTTCTGCATGGAGTTTTTCCTTTTGAACCTTGGAAACAAATTTGGAAGTAAGATCGAGAGAAGTTTGAGATTCACATTTCCACATGGCTGGGCTCACAGATTATATTTGTAGTACTCACAATTCGCTCTGGGCTGTCCTGTTCATCAGCGGAGATGCTGTGCTGTGTACTTAGATGAGCGCCAAAGGGAGGCTTGTCTGAGGGAGGAGAGCGTCTTTTGTTGTTTACCTATTTGTAAAGAGGCAAACAAGGCAGACATGAGATCAATAAAATAAAACAGCCATCTTCTATTGGCTTTAAAGTGGTAATGGTTTGACAGGTGCCAACCTACAGGTGAATCTCTGGCTTGTGGATTCCCATGACTGTCCTCTCTGTCAGACTCTGAAATTAGAGCAGGTTTACAATGTCAGGAGCCATCAGTCAAAAGGATTTAACTGTTATAGCGCATTTAGTCCTATTTAGACCAGATACACCATGTAAAAATAAGTACACTTAGCATATTTTTAAAAATACTTATTATTAAAATTATATATTTTAAAAGAATATACTTAAGTGTTTTCAGAAACTTACAGTAATTGCATGTTATTTACAATCAAATGAAATGTATTAGTTTAAATGTTATAATATATTAGATGCAATTAGTTGAACTTTCGACCCACTTAAAGGGTTAGTTCACCCAAAAATGAAAAAATATGCTAACCTCAGACAGACGGCTTATATATAATACAGAATATATATAAAAATCATGCTAAAAGCATAGTATAATGCAAGTTACACACATTTTATTGTCTTGCAGTCTTATTGATGAGGTGTGGTGCTAATTGAGCACAAATTAAGATATTGTTGATGCATTCTGACAACTCTCTGACCCTCCCATAGACAGCAAGGGTACTACCTCGATCAACGTCCAGAAACGTAGCAAGGAGATCGGTAAAATAATCCATGTGACATCAGGGGTTCAACCGTAATATTACGAAGCTACGAGAATACTTTTTGTGAAAAAAAAAAAAACGACTTTATTCAACAATTCATCTCC